GGATTTGGGGTGGAATCCCTGGATTTTGGGGCTGATCCCCGGAATGTTGGGGTCCCGGTTCGGGGTCCCTCTGTGCCCCCAGGTGACGACACCTACCTGGACATCTTCCGCGACATCTCCCTGATGGCCTCGGACCACCCCGAGAAGCTCGCCCGGGCCCCGCCCCCCAAGCACTCCACGCTTTAGCCACGCCCCTCGGCAGACCACGCCCCCTTTGTCAAAACCACGCCTCTTTAGGCAGAGCCACGCCCCCTTGGGAAAAACCACGCCTCCGGGACGGCCACGCCCCCTCGGCAGGGCCACGCCCCTTTAGGCGGAGCCACGCCCCTTTTGGCAGAGCCACGCCCATTTTGGCAGAGCCACGCCCCTCTACAGGACCACGCCACTTTAGGCGGAGCCACGCCCCTTTAGGAAAGCCACGCCTCTTAGGAAAAACCACGCCCCCTTTGACAAAGCCACACCCCTCGTCAGGACCACGCCCTTTTTGCAGAGCCACGCCCCCTCGACATAGCCACGCCCCTTTCGGGAGAGCCACGCCCCCTCGTCGGGCAGCAGCCAATGGAATAAAGGCTCGGTTGGACCAAAATTCACTGGAGTGATCTGGAACCGAACCCGCCCCAAATCTTCCCCCAAAATTGGGGACCCCAAAACCGAGGATCCCCAAAGTGAGGATCCCAAAATTGGGGCCCGAAATTGGGCATCTCAAAATTGGGGGTCCTGGATAGGGGTCCCTGGTAATTGGGGGCGGTCCCACATGGGGGTCCCAGGTGATTTGGGGGGGTCCCAGCTCGGGGTCCAGGTAATAGGGGCGGTCCCAGGTGATTTGGGGGTCCCAGATGGGGGTCCCAGGTAATTGAGGGGGGTCCCAGGTGATTGGGGGCTCCCACATGGGGGTCCCAGGTGATTTGGGGGTCCCGGATGGGGATCCCAGGTACTTCGGGGGTGGGGGGGCTGCCACATGGGGTTCCCAGGTGATTTGGGGGTCCCACATGGGGGTCCCAGGTGATTTGGGGAG